GGTTATGTTGCTGGATTCAGCTTGCCAGTGTTTTGTTGAGGCTTTTGTGTTTGTATTCATAAGTGATCTTGGTCTTTAGTTTTCTTTTCTTATAATATGTTTCTCTGGGGTAGGGGGGTGTTTTTTAGGTTTTTTTCTTTTTTGAGACAGATTCTTGCTCTGTTGCCCAGGCTGGAGTGCAGTGATGTGATCTCAGCTCACTGTAACCTCTGCCTCCCAAGTTCAAGCAATTCTACCTCAACCTCCCAAGTGGCTGGGATTACAAGTGCCCACCACCACATCTGGCTAATTTTTGTATTTTTAGTAGAGATGGGATTTTCACCATGTTGACCAGGCTGGTCTCAAACTCCTGACCTCAAGTGATTCCCCTCTTCCTTGGCCTTCCAAAGTGCTGTTTCTCTCGTTTTGGTATCAGAGTAATACTGATCTCGTATAAGAGTTGAGAGGGGCCTCCATCTTTTGAGTCTTCATCCAGCTGACTGACTTTTGTGTATTAGTGTGTATGAGAGAATTTTCTTTTCACCACATACTCTAAAATGTATACTTTTTTTTTAAACAACTGATAAATTCCCTTATATAGAGTTTGTATGTTCTATCTTGATCTTTTTTCATAGAATTCTCTTTTGATGGGGCACAGACATGCATTATCAGAGTTGCTTCTCTTCAAACAGAGAAAAATTATTTATGAGTTCTGTTTGTACATATTGATGCTATGTATACTGTTGCAAGAATCACATGATCATTCAAATGTCAGACTGAGAGTAAAAAGACTTGACTGGGGAGGGTGGCTCTCACCTATAATCCCAGCACTTGGGAAGGCCAAGTTGGCAGGATTGCATGAGGCCAGAAATTCAAGATCAGCCTGAGCAACATAGGGAGACTCCATCTCTATTTATGAAAAGTCTTTAAGGCTGGGTGTGGTGGATCACGCCTGTAATCCCAGCACTTTGGGAGACCAAGTCAGGCAGATCACCTGAAATCAGGAGTTCGAGACCAGCCTGGCCAACATGGTGAAACACCATCTCTACTAAAAATACAAAAATTACCTGGGCCTGGTGATGTGTGCCTGTAATCCCAGCTACTTGGGAGGCTGAGGCAGGAGAATTGTTTGAACCCAGGAGACGGAGGTTGCAGTGAACTGAGATCACACCACTACACTCTAGACTGGGCGGCAGAGTGAGACTCCATCTCAAAAATAAAAAATAAAAGGTAAACACTCACTGAAGTTAAAAATAATTTCTATGGGATATAGTAACAACAATAATAGTAGTTAACATATGTTGTATACTTACACTAGACTAAACAATTTACAAATACTGCAGTCAGGTTTTCTGGCAAGACAACCAGCTCTGCTGTGAAAAAATAAAATCCCTAGTTTCAGAAGTGCCGTTTCTTAACTATTCTCAGTCACTACAGAAGATTATAATAAACTCCTCAACTCTCTGCTGGATAAATTCTTTACAAATGGAAATTAAAATAGTAATACTTAAAATGTATAGTAATTTTAAGCTTTAAAGTGCTTCGCATTTTATTCATTCAAAACACTAAATCTGAAACAGTCTAAGCATCTGCTCTTTGAAATCCAAATACAGTTTAAGGTATGCTAAGCCTCAATACCTGAGTGAAAATATACTGTTGGAGTTTTACAAAATTACCTGTATTTTAGTAATTTTTTTTGTCAGGTCAAACTTAATTATCTGGGAGAAATATATATGATATATTTATATGTATATAGTATTAATATACATTTATGTATGTGTGTAATATATATGTAATTTGGATACAATTCCCTATTCAATTGATTTCAGCAGAAATGTATTAAGTATGGAAGTAGTACTGTATAGCAGCAGTCCCCAACCTTTTTGGCACCAGTGACCCATTCATGAAAGAGACAGTTTTTCCACAGATGGGGTGTGGGTGGTCGGGGGACATTAGATTCTCATAAGGGGCATGCAACCTAGATCCCTGGAGTGTGCAGTTCACAATAGGATTCGCACTCCTGTGAGAATCTAAGGCTGCCACTCATCCAGCAGGGGGCAGAGCTGAGGCGGTCATGTTTGCTCGCCTGCCACTCACCTCCTGCTGTCAGCGGTACTGGTCAGCGGCCCGGCGGTTCGGGACCCCTGTTATATGGGGAGGATACACACATGCAAGAGACAGTGTTCTATTCGATGTTTTCAGGAGATGCTATCATGAAGACCTTTTTAGGGTTAGGAAAATGTTTATATTAAATGTGAACTGGCAGAGTCCAAATTGAAGACTATTCTAAAGGCATTGCCTTATTTATCATAACACTTCTGCTGCTAAAACAAGCTTCAGACACATTCAGTACATTTTGTTTTGATCCAATAGCTATTTGATCCAGAGGCTTTTCCTTTTGAAGGGTCTTTTGGAAGCAACATTATCTGTAATCATGTGTACTAATCAAATAATGTTTACACTTTCCAATGCAAATTTGCATTTTTTTTTTCTTTGAGACGGAGTCTCGCTCTGCCAACTAGGCTAGAGTGCAGTTGCACGATCTCGGCTCACTGCAACCTCCACCCCCCGGGTTCAAGCAATTCTTCTGCCTCAGCCTTGAGTAGCTGGGACTACAGGAGCAAGCCACCATGCCCAGCTAGTTTTTGTATTTTTAGTAGAGATAGGGTTTCACCATATTGGCCAGGCTGGTCTCAAACTCCTGACCCCATGATCTGTCCGCCTCGGCCATTTTTGGGGATTTTTTTTTTTAGAGGCAGGGTTTCACTGTGTTGCCTCAGCTCCTGGGCCCAAGTGATCCTCCTGCCTCGGCCTCTGGAGTAGCTAGGACTATGGGCACAACCCACTGCACCTGGCTCCATTTATGTTTTTTGTTGTTTTGTTTTGTTTTGTTTTTGTTTTTCAAATTTCACTTCCAACATTGTCACTCTTTGTTTCTTTACTGCACTTTCTTTCTTGTTTTAATCATTTTTGTAAAACATCACATGGATTTATCACTAGGAGACAAAACAAGGGAGCTACATCTTTAGCTGTCTGTGAGTGAACTGAGTACCAGATATGTAGTAACCAATCACTGGCCGACTTTGAATGAAGTGGTATCATTGGCCACTGGTCATGATGTTATGTAGTGATTTTATAGACTGAAGAGCTAGCAGCGAAGATTGTGCATTATGCATTGCTCACAATCAATATATTTGGTCACTGAAATTTGAACCATGGTTTGGGGAGTAGCTGGTGTTTTAACTAAAGCTTAGTAACTGAAACCTGTGCATACCAGAACCTTGCCAAGAGAGGACTACCATGGTAGTTAAATGAGGGGCATCAGGTTCCACAAAGGATTATAAAAATACTACTCTACTGTATTATTCATTTACATATATACATGTATATCCTAAAGTAATAAGCTGGTTTTAAAATATTAACCATACTTAATGATTGATATTTATTATATTATAATTATAATAATTTTACTGGCCATCTAGGGATTTAGAAGACTTCAGAGGGATTTAATGTACGATCCAGAAAGTTTGAAAGTTTGAATTGATACCTTCCTTTAGATCTAAAGATATGGGCCAGGCGTGGTGGCTCACGCCTGTAATCCCAGCACTTTTGGAGGCCAAGGTAGGTGAATCACTAGGTCAGGAGATCGAAACCATCCTGGCCATGGTGAAACGCCGTCCCTACTAAAATACAAAAAAATCAGCCAGGCGAGGTGGCGCGCACCTATAGTCCCAGCTACTCCGGAGGCTGAGGCAGGGGAATCGCTTGAACCCGGAAGACGGAGGTTGTGGTGAGCCGAGATCGTGCCACTGCACTCCAGCCTGGTGACAGAGCAAGACTCTGTTCCCCCGCAAAAAAAATTTACACTGCAATTTTATATATGTAGTGATTTCATATATGTAGTGATGTTATGTGGTGATTTTATGTACACTGCAATTTCATATATACCTATGTTTAATGAGACAGTATTTTTGGACACCTGAGAGTTTTTCATCACACAGTAATACCATCTATATAAATGTATCACATTATTTAAATTAATTACTAATATTTCAACTTCTATTTTGGACTGAAGGAATTGAATTGATTTATAAATTGTTCTTTTAGCCCTAAAATTCTGTATGTATTCTCTGACTTTTATATTAAAAACTATTAAAGCTGGGCACGGTGGCTCATGCCTGTAATCCCAGTGCTTTGGGAGGCTGAGGCAGGGGGATAGCATGAGCCTAGGAGTTCAAGACCAGCATGGATGACATAGCAAGACCCTGTCTCTACACACACACAAAATTAGCCAGGTCCACACCTGACACGTGCCTGTGGTCCCAGCTACTCAGGACACTAAGGTGGAAGGATCACTTGGGCCTGGGAGGCAGAGGCTACAGTAAGCCATGACTGTGCCACTGCACTCCACTCCTGTGTGGGTGACAGAGTGAGACCCTGTCTTAAAAAAAGATAAAAACTATCAAGTGTAGTGCATGTTTAATTTGGGGACTAAATACTTATTTTTAAGGGGGTGGTTAAAGTACTCGGCATTATTTAGTAAGTTAAAGCCTTGGGTTTTAAACCTGATTTGGAGTTGAGCTCTGGGAAGGAAAGGATGATTGATTCATAGCACCCTGAGACACTCACGTACGATTTGAAAAGCAGATGTACTCTAAGGCTATCAAAATAAAAATAACACCAAGTACTATGCTTATCTCTTAAAGTCATGTTGTTTTCTGCAAGGTGTTAAAAATGAAAATAAGATTGTTCTAATAACATTTAAGTTTCATGAGCATATGTGTATGATACAAGCAAGATTGATGGGTAACTACTTGCAGTATAGTTTTTTTAGAATGATGTACTTTTAGATTGATTTTCCAGACCGCTGAAATAAAAAATACTCCAGTTTAATTTGAAATAATGGGAATGTTGGCTCTGATGCCGTGACTTTAAGTGTATACATGCCCAACTGTGAATGGATTAAGCTCATCATTGGCATTGCATTGAAGTCATTCAGAGATTCTCTTTTGCCATTGCAGGTAGAGCGGGAAAAGGCCATTCTTTTGGCCAACCTACAGGAGTCACAGACACAGCTGGAACACACCAAGGGGGCACTGACGGAGCAGCATGAGCGGGTGCACCGGCTCACAGAGCACGTCAATGCCATGAGGGGCCTGCAAAGCAGCAAGGAGCTCAAGGCTGAGCTGGACGGGGAGAAGGGCCGGGACTCAGGGGAGGAGGCTCATGATTATGAGGTGGACATCAATGGCTTAGAGATTCTTGAATGCAAATACAGGGTGGCAGTAACTGAGGTGATTGATCTGAAAGCAGAAATTAAGGCCTTAAAGGAGAAATATAATAAATCTGTAGAAAACTACACTGACGAGAAGGCCAAATATGAGAGTAAAATTCAGATGTATGATGAGCAGGTGACAAACCTTGAGAAGACCACCAAGGAGAGTGGGGAGAAGATGGCCCACATGGAGAAGGAGTTGCAAAAGATGACCAGCATAGCCAACGAAAATCACAATACCCTTAATACGGCCCAGGATGAGTTAGTGACATTCAGTGAGGAGTTAGCTCAGCTTTACCACCACGTGTGTCTGTGTAATAATGAAACTCCCAACAGGGTCATGCTGGATTACTATAGGCAGAGCAGAGTCACCCGCAGTGGCAGCCTGAAAGGGCCTGATGATCCCAGAGGACTTTTGTCCCCACGATTAGCCAGGCGGGGAGTGTCATCCCCAGTAGAAACAAGGACCTCATCTGAACCAGTTGCAAAAGAAAACACAGAGGCCAGCAAAGAACCAAGCCCAACTAAGACCCCCACAATCTCTCCTGTTATTACTGCCCCACCATCATCTCCAGTATTGGATACAAGTGACATCCGCAAAGAGCCAATGAATATCTACAACCTTAATGCCATAATCCGGGACCAAATCAAGCATCTGCAGAAAGCTGTGGACCGGTCCTTGCAACTGTCTCGCCAAAGAGCAGCAGCTCGGGAGCTAGCCCCCATGATTGATAAAGACAAGGAAGCCTTAATGGAAGAGATCCTCAAGCTCAAGTCCCTGCTGAGCACCAAACGGGAGCAGATCGCCACATTGAGGGCAGTGCTGAAAGCCAACAAGCAGGTAATCTCATTCTACTGGTGAAAGCATGCTAGTCAAAGCTTTCTTAGCTAATTCATTCCCTAATTTTATTGAGTATCCAGTATCATCAAGATGACAGTTCAGATTCTTGGTCAGTGGAGAAATAAAACTATGTCCCAGTGCCAGACCAGAATGTTCTAATAATTACTATGTTTAAATGAGTGAATGGCTGTAATATCCATGCCCAGCTAGGTAGAGGCAGAGGTGAGGAAGTTAAAGCAGGAACACAGAGGACCCAGATGCCTTTCTGCAGATAGAGAAAGGCGGTTCAGGCAGTGCTGGGCTGAAGCCTGGCAGTGAGTGACTGTGGAAACAGGAGATGGAGGTTGGCAGAATAAGCTGACAAGGCAGGTTACACCAGCTAGGGAGATACAGCAAGAAAGACAGACACCCCGCAGGCAGCTGGAGCAAACAAGGAAATCTGGGTGCAGACGGTGAAGAAGGTCTGCTGGTCAATAACTGGAACCCAGCTTTGGACCTGGAGGTTCAGAATCAAGACTCAATTTCTAGGGGTATAGCAAGTTATTATTTATTTTTTTATTATTATTGTTTCGAGACAGCCTTGCTCTGTTGCCCAGGCTGGGGTGCAGTGGCGCCATCTTGGCTCACTGCCACCTCCACCTCCTGGGTTCAAGCGATTCTCCTGCCTCAGCCTCCCAAGTAGCAGGGATTACAGGCGTGTGCTGCCATGCCTGGATAATTTTTTGTATTTTCTGTAGAGACGGGATTCCGCCATATTGTCTAGGCTAGTCTTGAACTCCTGACCTCAAGTGATCTGCCCGCCTCAGCCTCCCAAAGTGTTGGGATTATAGGCATGAGCCACCGCACCCTGCTAAGTATAGCAAGATTAAAAGGAGTGTTTTGTTTTTCATCCCAAACTTAGAGAAACAAAAGTGCTAAACAAATGAGCAAGTCAGGGATGAAGGGCAAGACAGCTGTGAGCAACTGAGTGCTTAAAGAAACAAAGCCAGGCAGATCGTTACCAACAAATTAAACAGTTCGGGGCCACTTTAGCAAGCAAATGAGAGAGCGAGAAAGACAGAGTGTGAGATAGTATGAGAATGAGCTCTACCTGTGCCGGTGACTGCATATCTGAAATTTAGGTTCATTCGGGATGTTAACTCTGCTGGGTCAGAGCTTAAGTAATAGGGAGCTTTTCCTAGCTATTCATCTTGTCCTCCTGGACAAGTAGTAATCTTACAACATGGCCTAATTCCCAGCTCTCTGTGATGAGTGAATTTGTTTTCCACCCTTGAGTTTTACCTGGGTGGGAGTGCTGCGAGATATAGGCAGGAAAATTCTTTTCTCATTTGTTTAGTTACATTTGAGAAAGGTGCTGAGTAAATGTTGGTGTTGATAAAGAGAAGCAACAAAGCACCAAATGCCTTCTTGCAAATGCAAGCAGTGCCAGTGAATGCTAGGTCATGGGAGCTCTAGCTCTTTGGAGAATGAGGGTTAATTTCAGATTCAGAGTGCCTTCTCCATTTGCCATCATCTGGGGGAAACCACACCCTTATTACATCATCTACAGTGCAGCTTTAGCGCCCTCATCTCTAGTGCCCATAAATCTATTCATATAATTGACATTTATACCATAAGCTATAATATTGTTTGCACTATTAACATGTTTTATATAAACCTAAGGGCAAAATATGACTTTATCTTGTGTTGCCACTTTAGAGAAATAGAAAAGGTAGCCAGGCAAGGTGACTCACGCCTGTAATCCCAGCACTTTGGGAGGCCGAGGTGGTCAGGAGTTCAAGATCAGTCTGGCCAATATGGTGAAACCCAATCTCTACTAAAAATACAAAAATCAGCCGGGAGTGGCAGCACACGCCTGTAGTCCCAGCTACTCGGGAGGCAGAGACAGGAGAATCGCTTGAACCGGGGAGGCAGAGGTTGCAGTGAGCAGAGATCGCGCCATTGCATTCCAGCCTGGGTGACAGAGTGAGACTCCATCTCAAAAAAAAAAAAGAGAGAGAGAGAGAGAAATAGAAAAGATTAGGGTGAATGAAGAATTTGTGAGATATTCAGAGTGGTCATAAATAACCATAAGACTTACACAACCTTTATCAAGAACATGCTATCCTGGGGCATTCTTGGTCAACCCATCAGATAACTCCTCTGATTTCTTCCTTTTTTTTTTTTTAAATATACATTTTTCCCCCTCCCGCTTGACTTCTTCCTAAAGGTTGAATATTAACAACCTTTAGAAACCTAGATCTATAAAAATGTCAAGATGGTTAACTGAAATATAGATAAGGACACTTGGCCAACCAACAGAGACTAATTTGTGAACAGGCATTCATTGATTACATATTTTCTGGGAGGCGGTAAGTAGGGATGCAAAAATAAATGACATAATCTAGTAGGAGTTCCACAATTGCCTGTAGCTGTTTACAAGATAAGACTTACCAAGCACTTTAGCGTGATGTAAACAGTACCACAAGAATTAAGAACAGAACAAAGCATTCCTAGCTGAAGTTTTCTTTTCACAGTGTTTTGTGGTACAGGTTGAGTATGTCTTTTTCAAAATGTTCAGGACCAGAAATGTTTCAGATTTTGGATTTTGGAAATTTGCATATATACATAATGTGATATCTTGGGGATGGGATCCAAGTCCAAGCATGAAATTGACTTATGTTTCATGTATTCCTATATACATAGCCTGCAGGTAATTTTATACAATATTTTAAATAATTTTGTGGCTGAAACAAAGTTTTGACTGCGACTCATTACATGAGGTGAGGTGTAGAATTTTGTGGCATCGTGTCAGCACTCAAAAGGTTTCAGATTTTGAAGCATTTTGGATTTTGGATTAAGGATGCTCAGCCTGTACCATTGGCATTACATTAGAGTTCCAGCCTATATGGGCTCAGTGAATTATATGAATTAAGTCTACATGTTCATGATGTTAGGCCTGTTGCTGTGATGCTTATGTGTTGTAAATAGCTTCAAGTATTAACAGATGACATTCACTATATTTAGACATTGTGGAATGTTCGTTTTTAAGGTTGGGGTGAGAATTCTGGGATATAAGGGGAAAAAAGGAAATCTCCCTGTTTTAAAATAGGCATTCTACTATACAGCCATAAGAAAGAATGAGATCATGTCATTTGCAGGGACATGGTTGAAGTTGGAGGCCATTATCCTTAGCAAACTAATGCAGGAACAGAAAACCAGTTATTGCATGTTCTGGTGCACATATGTACACAGCACGGTACATGCCTTCTGATGAACTCAGTAAATGCTTATGAAGCACCATCCATCTAGCACTGTGCTAGATGCTGAAGATTCAAAGTAGACTAACATATTGTCCCTGCCTTCCAGAAGACTCAGCCTCCTGGGAATATCCGGATAAAAACACAATTACAGTTCAGCATTACATGTGCTGTAATCCAAGTTATGAGAACAATTTAGAGGAAGCAACTAAGGTTTCCTAGAGGAGCGAAAAAGACTTCACAGAAGCAATTATACCTTAGTTTGTTCTTAAAGGATAAGGAGTTGTTTTCCAGAGGAGGAGGAAATAATTCCAGACAGAACAATAGGTAGAGAGGCTTAGGAGTGACAGAATAGAATGATATATTTAGGAAATGCTCACAAAGGTCTATGTGGCTGGAAATAAGACTTTTTTATTTAGAAAGTCAACTTTGGAATGTGCAGAGAATATGCTGAATGCAGACCTCAGCAAATTCAATGGGTTATGGTTACTTAAAAATTACTTAATTCTGGAAAAGCTTTGCATAGTCTGTGGACAAACGAATCCACAAACAAAACTGAGGCTTTGGGGTATTTGTCACAAATAGTAAATGAATATGTTCTTCTATTTCAGATCTAGCTCTTCTTTTATTCTCCTCTTTATTCCCTTTAGATGCTGACCATGGGACTCTGTGCTTACAAATTTGTTACATCTACATTTTCACAATTTAAATGTAATTTTCTGTTCTAAATGAATATGTGTCTAAGCTTTTTAAACACTAAACAACTGCCATTTTTCCCCAGGTCAATTTCTGCATTCTGGATAATTTTCTGAATCTGTAATATTTCTGAAGATTCTTCCAAGTATTAATACTACAGAACATTATGAATAAAGTCTCATTTTAATCTGAATTCAAATTCAATCAAAACTCATAAGAAACTACTTCAGAATCAAAACAGTAACAAAGTACCCTATCTCAACATTGGTTTAGTAAAGAAAGAATTTATTTCTATAGATGTTGGCATTTTAAATATGAAGATTTGAAACTGCCCATTTCAAGCACAAAAAGAAACATTAAAAACCAGGGTAGTCTTCCTGGGAAATCCCATTAGTAATGGATTTTTGTACTAGTAATAGGGTTTTTCATTAGTATGGGATATTTGTATGGACTCTCAAAAGTTATTTCCACTTTGTAAAAATAATGTGTTTCCAGTTTGGCTTCAACATGCAAACTGTGTGCTATGCATCAAACAGGCAGTCCCTAAGTAAACACTGATTTTATGCATTGATTCAATGTGGGATTTTTTCTTATTTTTTTATTTTTTTTTATTTAAGACAGAGTTTCGCTCTTGTTACCCAGGCTGGAGTGCAATGGCGCAATCTCGGCTCACCGCAACCTCTGCCTCCTGGGTTCAGGCAATTCTCCTGCCTCAGCCTCCTGAGTAGCTGGGATTACAAGCACGCACCACCATGCCCAGCTAATTTTTTGTATTTTTAGTAGAGACGGGGTTTCACCATGTTGACCAGGATGGTCTCGATCTCTTGACCTCGTGATCCACCCGCCTCGGCCTCCCAAAGTGCTGGGATTACAGGCGTGAGCCACCGCGCCCGGCCGGGTTTTTTTTTTAACTTGCTACTGTGTGCTAGGCTAGCTCTTGATTTGAAACACTGTTAATTCCAAGAAATTCAGACATGCTCAAATCCCAGATTCAAACAAATGGTTTTCACTCATTCAACATTTTGTAACCCCTACTTTTATGGAGATTTTTAAACAACTATATTTGACTATAATTCATTGTTTGGACAAATTGTATGCAAATTAGAAAGCAGTTATTTATTACTTCTTTCTCTTAAACATATAATAACATGGATTTATAATTTATCATATATTCATATTATAAATTACAATGGTGTATGTCTTTTATTCTGTGTTTTGGGCCCACTGAGCACAGGTGACAAAATTTGAGTTCTAACATATTCCAATTTGATTATTCCAACTGAAGCTCTGCTTCTTTACTAACTTCTTAGTAAAGTTTTTCTTGTGTAAAGTTTCATTCTGGCTCCCTTTTTGTCCTAAAATTCCATGCCTTCAGCAATCTGCATTAAATGTTTATTAAACTACTGTCATTCTCTTAGCTCCTGATACTTTGGCTCACAGCTGGCCTCTAGGGCAATTTAACCACATTATAAATTCACAACACATTTGACATTAAAGAAAAACTTCCTGGCTGGGCGAGGTGGCTCACACCTATAATCCCAGCACTTTGGGAGGCTGAGGCGGGTGGATCATCTGAGGTCAGGAGTTTGAGACTGTCCTGACCAACATGGTGAAACCTCGTCTCTACTGAAAAATACAAAAAATTAGCAATTTCGTGATTTTTTTTTTTAAAAAAAGAAATGAAAGTATGATTTTTTTATTTAAAAAAAAAAAAAGAAAAACTTCCTGTGTCCCAAGTGCATACCTATGTGTATATGGCTTAAATCAATTTCACTTTCCTTTTATAAAAGAACATAATAGGCCCAGCATGAAACAATCTGTATGATGGATTTTCCTGATATGAAAATTGTAAGCAGTGTGATTTTTCTGCTTTAGACAGCTGAGGTGGCGCTAGCTAATCTCAAGAACAAATATGAAAATGAAAAAGCAATGGTGACTGAGACCATGACAAAGCTTAGAAATGAACTGAAGGCTTTGAAAGAAGATGCTGCAACCTTCTCATCCCTGAGAGCAATGTTTGCAACAAGGTAACAGTATTTTCTTCCTAAGACTGGGTGTGGTATGTGGGGAAAAGCCTTTAAAGTTCACAGCCCTGTCTTTGTGCATGCTGAGTGTATTTGGTGTATAGTCTAGGATGGTAAAGTGTGAAGAAAATATGTGGAATTCCACTCTGACGTATACAAAGTCAAACCTTCTGTGCTGTTTTCCAGAGTCCCCTACTGAACATTCTGGATCCAGAAATTCTATTACATAAAAATATTTTTATGTAAGGTAATATTAATAGACTGTTTGTAGAACTTATGCACCCCAAAGAAATAGACTCTCCCTCCAAATGAAAAGCTTTCAATAAGAAAAAAAAAAACCCATTTCCTAGAATAACTAAATATTATATTATCACTCCTGAAATACAGTTCTGTGATGGAAGTACATGAAAGTATAGAAAAGTGCCTTACTTATCCTTAGTACTGTGCGAGAAGATACCGTCATAATGAAGGTTAATAGTCATCATATCAACTAATTACTTAGAATATATATGTATTTTTTTGAGACAGAGTCTCACTGTCACCCAGGCTGGAGGGCAATGGCACGATCCTGGCTCACTGCAACTGCTGCCTCCCAGGTTCAAGCAGTTCTCCTGCCTCAGCCTCCCATAGATTCACTCTTGTTACCCAGGCTGGAGTGCAATGGTGCGATCTCGACTCACTGCAACCTCCATCTCCCAGGTTCAAGCAATTCTCATGCCTCAGCCTCCTGAGTAGCTGGGGTTACAGGCATGCGCCACCATGCCGAGCTAATTTTTATATTTTTGGTAGATACGGGGTTTCACCATGTTGCCTGGGCTGATCTCGAACTTCTGACCTCAGGTGATCCACCCACCTCGGCCTCCCAAAGTACTGGGATTACAGATGTAAGCCACCACACCGGCCTATATTTTGTTTTTAAACATGAAGTGATTGTTAAGAATGTGTTTGATTTGAAGTTTTCAGAATCTTGGGATTTTCAATATACTGTTGAAATACATTTTTTGTTGTCACAATGCAGTGTCAAGAAAATCCACCTTTTTTTTTTTTTTTTTTTGAGATAGGGTTTCCCTCTGTTGCCCAGGCTGAATGCAGTGGTGCCGTCTCAGTTCACTGCAGCCTGGACATCTGGGCTCAAGCAACCCTCCCACCTCAGTCTCCCAAATAGCTGGATCTGCAGGCTTGCACCACCACACCCGCTAATTTTTGTGTTTTTGTGGAGGCAGGGTCTTGCCATGCTGCCCAGGCTGGTCTCAAACTCCTGGGCTCGAAAAATCCGTCCACCTCAGCCTCCAAAAGTCCTGAGATTATGGGTGTGCACCATCATGCCTGACCAAACCTCACCAATTACATGTCTTGTATGATGCAAACTTGGTGCAAAATTCCCAAATAATTACTAAGGCTTTACTTGCAGACTTGGTAAATGATTTACATGTAGCTGATACAAGTGTTAAAAATGAAACAGAAATCTCTTGAACTTTAAAGGAGTCCCCCAGAATCTGTCCATCTTTCTTTGTATGTTAGGAGAGTACAGGCTTAAGCCGAGACCTTGTGATTGAATCTCCTGGAGATGGCAGTGAGAAGGCTGAGTGCCGAGAGCCCGCAGGGGTGCAGAGGAACTAGAGGGAACTGACTTCTGGGTCTCAGGGCATGGCAGTGTTTGGGAATAGAATGTGTTTACCTCTGGCCACTATGGTGGACAGGATAGAGAATAGGAATGGGGCACAATGTCCCCCTCTTTGATGAAAGAATCAAGATTATATTTGGAATCAAGAAAACATAAATTTCCTCTTTGAGAAGGAAATTTTTAAAAATGTCAAAAACATTTCAAGTCTGAATCTGATTTATATAAGAAGTATTATCCCCTAGCCAGGCACGGTGGCTCACGCCTATAATCCCAGCACTTTGGGAGGCTGAGACAGGTGGATCACCTGAGGTCAGGAGTTCAAGACCAGCCTGGCCAACATGGTAAAACCCCATCTCTACTAAAAATACAAAAATTAGCAGGACATGGTGGCATGCACCTGTAATCCCCACTACTCAGGAGGCTGAGGCAGGAGAAATGCTTGAACCTGGGAGGTGGAGATTGCAGTGAGCCAGGATTGCGCCACTGCCCTCTAGCCTGGGTGACAGAGTAAGACTCCCTCTCAAATAATAATAATAATAAAAAATAATTATTATCCCCAAATTGTCCATTTTCACAGACTTTTTTCTGGCATGAACAATAATTTGTTATTCATATTTTAGTGGGTAAATAAACTCAGGAAAAAAAAAACCTCAGAATGAGCTTTTTCCCCACACCATATCTCCCTTCCAAATGTATATGTGCTCAGGTTTTGCCATTGGTAAAGAAAAAAGATCACTGAGCTTATCTTCCTTTTTCGGCACAAGTATGAAACCTGAATAAAGATGTTTCAGAGAGTCTTGTGCAAATCTTGGTTTTTGCAGGGTTTTTTGACAACTCATTGTTCTATCATCTGGTTGAGAAATCACTGAAAATATTCAGTTTTCTAATTCAGGCAAATTAGTCAAATTGACAAGAGCAACAGCTGCAATCGATACTAAATTAAACTAAAATGTATAAATATAGATAAGGAATATTTTCTTTATAGACATTATTCTTTTGGATACTACAGGCATAGCCTATAATAAGATTGTCACATTCCTCTAAAGAATACAATGTTATACAGTAAAAAGAGCTACCGTAAGACATTTCAGGTACTGTGGACATTGTGTGAAACTTGACCGTTTTTCTGATGTTACACGGCAGCCCCACAATAACTCTGTCCCTGGGGTTTAAGTTGTTGTCCATTAAGACTGTTTCTATATGGACTGGGTGCAGTGGCTGATACCTGTAATCCCAGCACTTTGGGAGAATGAGGCAGAAAGATCACTTGAGGCCAGGAGTTCAAGACCAGCCTGGCCAACATGGTGAAACCCTGTCTCTACTAAAAAAAAAAATACAAAAATTAGCCAGGCGTGCTGGTGCACTCCTATAATCCCACCTACTCGGGAGGCTGAGTCATGAGAATCACTTGAACCTCGGAGGCGGAGGTTGCAGTGAGCCGAAATCATGCCACCGTACTCCAGCCTGGGTGATAGAGCAAGACTCAGTCTTAAAAAACAAAACAACAACAAAAATAATAAAAATTTAAACATCCCATGTATACTTCATTGTATGGATGAACACACATTCCAACTTTCTGCTATTATAGGTTATCTACATTCTTTTGCTAGACCTTTGAACCAGTCTTCTAAATTTCTAAATTTCAGTCAAATTTATTACTTTTCAACTTAAGTCCCAAATTCAGCTTCACCAAGATTTTCCCCTGACCAGCTTCCCTGTTTTGGTTCCAGATGTGATGAATATGTCACCCAGTTGGATGAGATGCAGAGACAGTTAGCAGCCGCAGAGGATGAGAAGAAGACTCTAAACACTTTGTTACGAATGGCTATCCAGCAAAAACTCGCCCTGACCCAGAGGCTGGAGGACTTAGAGTTTGACCATGAGCAGTCCCGACGCAGCAAAGGCAAACTTGGAAAGAGCAAGATCGGCAGCCCTAAAGTAAGTGGGGAGGCATCAGTCACCGTGCCCACCGTAGACACTTACCTCCTGCATAGTCAGGGCCCACAGACACCCAACATTCGGGTCAGCAGTGGCACTCAGAGGAAAAGGTATGCATGCAGCAATCTTCATGGTACGGTGCAGTGGCCAGATTTTAGTTAACTGCAAAAATGAATGTGCTCTTGTTGTGGAGGATGGAGGAGGGGAAGGAAAAGAAAAAACGGGAGCTGGCCTATAAATGGGCCTTGCTAACGTGGGTCTTTCCAGATCAAAACCTTTTTGATAACTGTGTTTATGTAGTCCTTTCTAACCCCCTGCCCAACCTCTCCTCTTGATTAATCGTAATATAATTTTCAAGTGTCTGTTAATATTTTTGCTACTCTTTGTATATATAAATATGCCTCTCCCTTACCTCCAACCTAAGAATTGGTAGATAAAGTTGGATATTAAGAATCAAGCTGTGTTCTACCTGGGTTCTAATTTTAAAAGTCATTGTACCTTTGGAAATGGTGCTGTTTATCAGCTTCTCTTTAACGGGGCAAGGATATGAATCTGTTCTTTTAGGGAAACTTTTGTCCATTTGACCAAAACTGATGACGGACTGAAAGTGGGTGTCTATATTTAGATTAAATGGGATGGAATACGCATAGTCCTTTTCTTGAAAGCAGGTTTTTGAGCTTTTTCGTTTGGCGTGGGAATATTGCCCAGAGAAACCACTTGTAAGGTTTTTAGGGGCTTGATTTTGTGACCTCTTTCCAGAGTCCTGGCTGTTGAGTTACTTACCCTGTATTTTCGATTAATGGTAACATTTTTATTTTAGGAGCTTTCGTTAAAGACTCAAATAATATATTTTCCATTTGTGGTTGAAACTGACTAACTTTAATAAATCTCTTTTCCAGTATCCAGAGCAGTTTCCAAATAGGGTTGTATCCTGATGTGGAAACTTAAAAAAAAAAAAAAAAAAAAAAAGCAAAACTCTTGATTTACATATTAAAAAAATTAAATGCCGGTATAAATAATGTTGTCACTGGTGAGGCATTGAAAGGTAATTAAAGTAAAACTTTTTTGTTTCCTATATGTATTTTTCTTGGATCTCCTGCAAGACAATTTTCACCTTCCCTTTGTGATCAGAGCCGTCCCAGGACTTCAGGGGCTTCCTACCTACAGAATTTATTAAGAGTTCCCCCTGATCCCACCTCCACAGAATCATTTCTTCTGAAGGGCCCCCCTTCCATGAGTGAATTCATCCAAGGGCATCGGCTCAGCAAGGAAAAAAGGTTAACCGTGGCTCCACCAGGTAAACATTTTTTCCTTGGGTTCATGTGATGCAAATGATTAGTTGAATAGACTATCCCCTTCCTTCCAGTCACTCAGGCCCCCCAGCCTCAGAGTCTACCTTTCATGATATGTAAATTCCTATAATTGGCCAGGCGCGGTGGCTCATGCCTGTAATCCCAGCACCTTGGGAGGCCAAGGTGGGCAGATCACGAGGTCAGGAGTTCGAGACAAGCCTGGCCAACAACGTAAAACCCCGTCTCTACTAAAAATATAAAAAATTAGCCAGGCGTGGTGATGTGCGCTTGTAATCCTAGCTACTTGGGAGGCTGAAGCACAAGAATCACTTGAACCCAGAAGACAGAGGTTGCAGTGAGCCAAGATTGTGCCACTGCATTCCAGCCTGGGTGACAGAGCGAGACTCTGTCTCAAAAACAAAACAAAACAAAAAAATAAATAAATTCCTATAATTCAAGTAAAAACTGCCTTATACTTAGCGTCCCATTTCCTCCTTCACTCACGTTCCGTAGAATGATGGACTTTGATTTAACAGCCAAAGATGGAAAATGGGAGTTGGAAGGAATGGGATAGGTAAAGGGAAATTAGCAACAAGCACAACACACACACACACTTGGATCTTATTTGCAGTTTGGTAGCTCATGGCAATTCCATCTTGGTCATATTTGGCCAGTTCTCTCTTATCATTTTCAATGTAATTTCCTTAAAGGGAGCCATATGTATGACAAGGCTTTGGGCTGATTTCCTTTTGTAGTGACTCAGAATGTCTCCTCAATCATTATATTGAGAATAAAAGCAAAACCCTCTACGATTTTGCTCCTCAAGAACATTTAGGTCTTAGTAGAATGTTCTTGTAGATTGCAAATCCCCGTTGGTTTATGCTGACCAACATGCTCACACTTGACCTTAGCTTCACTATTTTGCATTTTTCTTTCTTCCTTCCTTCCTTTCTTTCTTTCTTTTTACTTGTTCTATGAAGAGGCCTAAATTGAAAATGGGGCATATGGCAAATAAAGAAAATGTGACTTCTTGCAAATAAAAATCATCCTTTTAAGGAATCCCTGCATGTGAGTATAGGGCAGAAGTGGCAAAGGAGCCCATAAACTAAAATAAGCTTAAGGGCAGCTGTTACTTGACTATTGCAGGAAAATCAAAAATAAAACTAATTCAAGTTAGTTATCGACAGTTAAAAATTGAGGAGATTTCATATGAGCATCAATATTTCTGGCCTCTTTTGGAAGACTCTGAATATCTGGCAGCCCTGGGTCTGCATTCACGCATGTCAACACCTTTGGAGCTCTGTAGGGGTGGCTGCTGTTAGGGCAAGCTTTGTACTTTGCCACAGTCCCCACTCCTCCTTATGACTTATTCCCAGCCTGCCGTCCTCATTTCTGTTCTCTCCTGGCCCTTCCTGTAGTCTTTGAGTTTACCACTGTTGCCATAGAATTATTTTTTCATTTTACCTTAATTCCTTTTTGCAAACCTCAGCCTTTGGATCTCTAATACTTTCCGTATCTGATTCATGGAATCAGCCTCCTGATTGGGATTAAAAGATGTGGTGTAGAAACTGATGGTGCATTTCATGTTCTAAAGGCGCTTGAGGAAATTGATAGTGATAATGAGTTGAAATGGTGTAATAGCCAAAATAGACACCTAAAAAAAAAGTAACAACTGCTTGGTGTTTTTAATTTCATAACTGATTTCCTATTGTTTTAGACCTCCTTGGAAGGTACCTTGAAGTATTCTGTGAATCACCAAAGTGGTAACAATTTATCAGGATACCTAACTCTGATAAAACCCACAAAAGTCTTCTTTTTAGTGTTCCAAATGGATTTAGTAGCATTTGGAACTTGGAAAAGAAATTGGTATGATTAAGAAATAACTCCTATTGCCATTTAATTAAAAGGATAACATCTCAATAAGATTAAAAATTAATAATAAATGTTAACAATAACTTTTCATTTTTGTATGACTGGTTTTTGTTTACATGAATATATATTTTATATCGTCGTCATTACATTGTTTAAGCCATGAACATTATATCACAAGCTTTTCCATGTTGCTATGTAGTCTTGTTTTTTTGTTAAAGTTATTGTATTATAGATTTTGTTTCAGATGCTGTTATCACATTAATCACTACTTCACCTCTTGTCCACCGAGGTAGTTTTTCATTATTTGTTGTACTGTAGAGCACTGCTGGGAATATTCTCATGCATTCAACTTCTCATCTGTTACATTTTTCTCAAGCATGAGATCACTCCATTAAAAGTTGAACTTCTTTATGTTTTTTGCTCCATTCTGATGTTGCTGTCAAGAAGGGTATATCAATGTACTAAAAGCCCATAAAACGCTTTCCCGTTTTCCCGCATTGGTAATCTTTCTACTACTTATACACACTGTACACTTCTTACAACTTTAAAGTCAGTTAGCATACGTGAATGAGAGTACCAGTATGGTGTCTTAAACACTTTAGTTTTGAATAACCAGAAAATACCATTGACCTTAGAAATGATTACTATGTATGAGATTAGAGGCCGGGCGCGGTGGTTCACACCTGTAATCCCAGCACTTGGGCAGGCTGAGGCAGGCGAATCGCTTGTGCTCAGGAGTTTTAGATCAGCCTGGGCAACATGGCAAAACCCCATCTCTACAAAAAATACAAAAATTAGGCAGGTGTGGTAGTGCACGCCTATAGTCCCAGATACTCAGGAGACTAAGATGGGATCCCTTGAGCTGGGGAGGTAGAGGTTTCAGTGAACTGAGATCGCACCACTGCACTCCAGCCTGGGAGACAGGGTGAGACACTGCCTTAAAAAAAAAAAAAAAAAAAAGATTAGAGATATAAGGAATGTGGAATTCAGAATCATCACCAGACCAGAAGATCATACTAATGACAGTTTAACATAATGATAACCTTAATAATGATCACCATTTATTTAAAGTTAAAATAATAAAAGCGGAAAGGATGTAAAGCTGTTATTATAGCCTTAGGAATTTTTAATTATGTATCATGGAACCAACCAGATTAATGCTTAGTTAAATGAATTGCTATAGAAAGTGACTGACCATCCACACCAAATGAATTGTAGCTTCTACAGATGTCTGCATTATTACCAAAATATGCTATTTTCCCTTGGCTGAACTATATAGGATAAGACATATCAAAGATTCTTTATGATGCTCTTACTATATAAAATGTTTTCATTAAGTCAAGAAAGAGAAAATATGCCATATATGATCACTTATGTTCTATATATAACTATTATAAACTCATGGGAAATAATAGATTTTATTAGTATTTTTTAACCATCAGTTTAATTAACCATTATTAAATTTGTTAGCTGGGAACAGTATCTATTAATCATTTTAAAAGGACAATTCTCTATTAATTTATCAGAATGTTTTTGATAAGCATTGTTTTCTAAAATATATTGTTAGTACATCTTTTTAGGTGATTTTTAATTATTCTAATAAGCAGATATGGGCTTTATTTTTCTATTGAGGACCATTGAAGCAATTATCTCAACTAAAAATGCAATTCGTTTAATTTGTTTTTAATCCTTTGGTTGAGAAATTGAGAGAAATATGTCTCACTTAAAAATTTAAGACACAGGGCCAGGCGTGGTGGCTCACGCCTGTTATCCAAGCACTTTGGAGGCCAAGGCGGGCGGATCACCTGAGGTCGGGAGTTCAAGACCAGCCTGACCAACAGGGTGAAACCCCATCTTTAAAAAAAAAAAAAAAAAAAAAAATTTAAGACACAGAACATGGCTGGGCATGGTGGCTTATGCCTGTAATCCCAGCACTTTGGGAGGCTGAGGCGGGCGGATCACCTGAGACCAGCCTGACCAACATGGAGAAACCCTCTCTCTATTAAAACAAACAAACAAACAAAAAAGACACAGAACATAGAATGCTATTTGTTCTATATAAGAGATACTTTCAAATAGATTTCACTTCTATGAGACGGTGAACAGAAAACCTCATCTCCTTAAATGCATGATTTTTCAATTCTAGAGAATCCAACTATAGGGCGGTGCATTGATTTTCAACATTAGTAGAACTTTTATACTAATTGATTAATGCAGTATACTGATTGATTTGCTGCATTAAAACAACCTTTTAAGGGAAAAATCTGGCTTTTCCCTCTGGCTGGCTCAGCTTCTGCAACCTCAGCCCTTGCAATTCCAGTGCTTCTGGCCGTGGCTTGCTTGTTGACTTTGTTGTTCTTGACTTTATCCTTATCCTGGCCACAAATTCCAGTGTCCTTCCACAGACTCATCTTAGTTTTCACAGTTTCAGTCACCAGCTGATCTGAGAAGTGCCTACCAGCTTTGATGACCTTGACTCAAAAAGGATCCTGTTGTCATCCAGGAGTTTGTAATTAGGCAGCAAATTGTATGTCTTCACAAAATTATTGTCTGTTTTTTAGCCAGCATTTTATCTTGACTCCTTAACTGCCTACCTATATCCTTCTCCCCCTCATCATCTTCTTCCTCATCATCTTACCATTTAATCAGTAATTACAATCAATCTGTCAGAATATGTAAAAGGAATCCATGTAACTCACAGGCAGGAGTTGTTACTTCTGTAGTAAAGACCTGACTGCAGCATTTGCACAAGATAAATAGGAAATGGCAAACCTGGGGAAGCAAGTGTGAACTCAGTCTGGAAGTCGTAGCCTAAGCAGCTTGCTCTTCATGCTGCCTTTTCCATGTGGGGCTTTTCCTCTTAGATGTCTTGCTTCCCTGTATCATTTCAGTCTCCTCCCTCCCTCTGTTCCTACCTCCTTCCATCCCTCCCACCCTCTCTTTCTCTGACACAATGAATGACTCAGCTAGTTTAAGAGAATGGTATTATTTTGAAGTCTGAAAATGTTTCTATGGTAGTTTAGATTTTACTGATTTTTTTTTTTTTTTTTTTGAAACAGATTCTCGCTCTTGTTACCCAGGCTGGAGTGCAATGGCGCGATCTCGGCTCACCGCAACCTCCGTCTCCTGGGTT